GGAATGATTGTTGCATGGCACCGGAAGGAACACAAATGCCAGCATAGACGCTTGGACATATCTGTCGGCGCGCAATGACCATTCTAGGAGCACGAAATACTAGTTGAAGTGATACGTAGTTCTTAAAGCATCGGCTTAAATATTCAGCCACCCTTTTAGCAGGATGCATGGGTACCGACCACCGTGTTCGGGGGCCCAGGTTCGTGACGCTGAATGCATGTCCACGATGTATTTCCGTCTGGGTTGAGATGTCTGAATTGCCATTGGAACCTGTTGCCTCGGATCAAATCGCTTACCTTTTACAGGGCAGCTAATGCCATTGAAGATCAAAGTCGTTAGCATCAAAGACCACAGGAAAGTAATCCTGTCTATTGCGTGTCCAACATTAGGCAGCTTGCCAGAAGTCGAATCGACGAATCGAGGTCTTTTCAGTGAGAAGCATTGCTGCACGGGCCTACTGCCCTCAGACAGGACCTCACGCTGCCGGAGGCACGGCGCGACCGTCCTGTCACGCACGCGCCTCGCCTGTCCGCCACTGCGCCAGACACGCCGCCAGTCCAAGCGGCGCCGGGGCTGGGAGCGGCGTCTGATGGCGCGTGGCGCCGATTTTAAAAGCGCTGCGACGACTCGGTTAGAGCGTGAAGTTGCACAGTTTACGGCGTCCATTTCGGAGTGACGATGCCCACAGATCATAGGCGGGATCCTGGCGATCGATCAGGTCGGCGAACGTGAGTCATTACGAGTCGCGGTCCCTCACACCACACATCCAGACGCGAAGCCAGAGGGATGGCAGACTGGGGCGGCGGACCCCTCACACCACAAAAGCCAAAGAAGTGAGCCAGACGGACGGCGGGCAGGGGCGACGGACCCTAACACCCAACAAGCCCAGAAGTGAGCCAGACGGGGACGCAGACTGGGGTGGCATCTGACCTCACCCACACCAGCCCAGACGGAACCAGACGGCCGGGCTGACCCCTTAACACCACAACAGCCCAACGTGACCCAGGACTGAACGGAGGACTGGTGGTGGGTTGGCGACGGACCCTCTCACACCACACCGACCAGACGTAGTAAGAAGGGAGTGGAGGAGGAAAAGCACACTGTCGATCCAGTAGCATACAGTGTGCAGCATGCCATTAGTTGCAGCCTGGGGACAGTACGCGGAGAATATCACGCCAGTCCATGCTGGTGCGTCAGATTTGGGGAAGCTCGGAACCACCCCGCCAATCGAAAAACCAATTCGCGTGAAAGATTGACCACAAATTGACCGATTACAACCGCAGATGAAAAAAGCAAGTCATCTTCATCCCGATATTGCCACTGAATAAAGCGTGTGCTTTGCATACTAAATTCATGGAATAAGTAGAGCCGGATGCCTCACAGCACCTGTGTTCCAGACACTGAACAGGTCGATGCTATGATTCTAAGATTATAACTAGTTTGGAAGCCGTCCTTGCAGTGAAAAGGGCACGTATGGAACGTCAACTGATGCAACGTGCAAAGGTTTCATATCTTGGATACATTGATTCTATATCCCAGGCAGGTTTAGTCACAGTACCAAGGTCGTCAATATGAGGATGACGTCCGCTGAAACGGCCTTTTCAGGTATTGTTGAGGAACAACTGAAATGTTTTAGGGCGTGTTTGCAATGAGAGTAGCGAACGCCCAGTGCCACAATTTTGGAAGGATTTTAAATTTTGTGCCGCTATACTTTTGCTTAATGTATGCATATATGTGCTCGCACGTCAAATGTTTTTATCGTATTTTGTGCATAATTTTTTTCTTGCCTTCTTTTAAGATTGTGTGGGAGATGAAATTTCCAGCGCTTCCCAACAAATTTTCCACATAGTCACCCGTGACTGCTCTCCAAGGCAAATCAGTATGCCTCAGTTTTCGGTATGACAAAATGATGGGCTTTGAATACTCCGATTAACAAAATCATAGCATGTTAGCACCAGACATGCTCCATCTCACGGGCTCCTACAGTGGCGCAGCAGGGAGCAAAGGGCGGGACAGGACAGCGGTCCACGTCGTGGCACATCGGAGCACGTGACACACCAGGCCTGCCTCGCGGGACGCATCACACCAGGTCACATAGCGGCACAGTGAGAGACAGGAACCACGGCCGCACATAGCCCCTTTGAGCTGGGGCACAGTTCTGGGGTTCAAATACAGGGTATATTTTATAGGCGTAGCGACATTTTCGGGAGCCTTTTAAAGCGTGCGGAACCTCAGACCCCAACTTTTCCCGCCCTGTGACGATCGCTCCCGCCATACCAACCAGCATAGTGCCACACCGAGGCATGTGACGACGCAGAACTCAGCAACTCACAAAGTGGCACAGCCACAAGACCGCCATATTCATACCATAACCTTCATAGTGGTATATCACAACATTACCGGCACATACCGTATTCCAATGCTGCGGCACGGCAACGTTACGGCACGCGTCACATCCAGATGGCATGGTTGGCACGGTGGACGCGGAGCAGTCTTTATTGCCGGTGAGGGGATCGCCCACTGGCGTTGCGTTGTCCATCCTGTTCTTTATTCTTGCTATTCCCCGGGTCCTGAAAGCTCCTCCAATTAGTGGAGAAAGACAACAGCATTTCACATTCAAACGATTCTGAATCTATGTGCAGCATGCGACTTTGAAATGGTTGCATTAGGTTGACTCGTTAACCTCATTCCCCTTCTTTGGTAGTGCACTCAATTTAATTAAGGTGGACACCGGTTTGCCAAACTTAATAAGCAATCAAGTGAATATAAATCCAACTTAGACATGCTTTTGCTGCCTGTGCGCGAATACTAAATGGTCTTAGAACGTGCTTAATTTCAATGCAGCCTTAGCGTTTTCATGTCGCAGCAGTTTTCTGTGCGTTCTGAACATAGGTGCGCGTGCCTGAACATTGTGAAGCAGAGTGTTGCTGTGTTGCTGAGAAAGGCTGATCAGGCCTACGACTAATCCGGTTCAGTAATAATGCGTTACTCGCAAAACCTTTCTCACCATTTATAGCAAAGTAAATGCGTTATTTGCAAAGCTTCATCGGATTATGCGCAGTACGTGTACCAGTGAGATCTAGAAGGGATATAAAATAATGCCGCGTACGGTTCTATTGACGAACGAGCACACGCACACGCACTGAAGCCTGCATGCTGAACTGGATGCGCAGTATGCCTGGGTTTGCCAGCTCCTAGTCCAGTACGAGACCCTGGCTGGGTGGTTTGCTGACAGTTCCTAGCCTTCCACACGATATTGTGAAAGTTTTGACATTAAAGGTGTCTTAATGACAAATCGCCTGCAATTATTAGCCCAGTTTAGAACAAAACCTCCCACAATAAATTCAGCAGGCCAGCAGCATAAGCAGTGGTTTAATCTGTTAATTAGAGCGCGCAAAATACGCACGACTTTGCCCGAACTTTGATGATTTATTGTTGGGAGCATATTTGTTGTGGGGTTCTGGAAGGCTAAGTAGGTTGTTCCCTTACTAAGAACAAACACCCTACAGATTCCGACAGGTCTAATGCTAAGAACGCTTGCAGGGCCTTTGCGAGATTGACATGACAAGATTGACTTGACTGACTTTCCTCATAATGTCAAAAAGTCAGGCACGGAAGGCCATCTTCCTTATGTCAAAACAGCTGTAGTTTTTGCTGCAGCAGT